CATAAGCAGAAGGAGGTAGTGGGAACTGAGATCCATTAATGTAAAAGATAATGGTAGGGATATTCTGGATATTGTTGCAGTCTACCACAAACTGTGAAAGACCAAATATAAGGGAAGGTTAAATTGAGAGTATGAGAAAGGTTGGTCAGGTTATAGCATCAGCTGAAAATAGATTAACAAACCACATTCGGTATGACTGTACTACTGAATATGTTTCACAATCCCTTCATCTTCACAGGTAGAAAGACCAAATAAACCCTTATCTCTTTCCTTCAATCAGTCAAGCTTGCCTTTATGCTGTGCAAGATTTCTTTAGGTCAATGAAATGATATTCAAATGATTTATGGCCACTACAGGTGACAGAAAAAATAATTCGTTTTGCATTTGTGTAGACTTAAATTCCTCACTTCTGATTTTACTTACAAACCACTAGCAAACATACTCTTTTTTGGAATTTCAAAATGGCATACCTTTTGCACTGTTTTACAGCACAACAATGTGCATATATGTGCACAAAAAGGTATATTGTAAGGAATAGCATGCAAAAAATCCCCCGTTTTAAATGTATTGAAGTCCATAGAAAATTCTGTTACGTTGGAGAAAATGCATATCAATTCTCATTAATTTGGATTAAAAACCAAAAACAACTTCAGATCCTGTTCTGGAAATGGGCCAAGACAAACAAAAGGACAAGAAAATGAGAAAATGTGAAATCAAAACTGATAGATTCTCTATCTGTACTAGTATCAGTCCCCTGAACAATCACAAAATGTGTTCATGATTCTTTCCTCCACTTACTGAATCTTCATAAGGAGCTTTCACAGCCTGAAGGAAATTTCTTAAATACTGTTGTGGGATGGTTAAAAAAAATTTCCCAGTGTCAACAATCCCCGGGCAGCTTCCCCGGCCCCAGCCAGTAGCCTGGTTGCCAATAGCAAACCTATAGAAACAAGAAGAACACAGAATATTACTAAAAAAATCACCAACAAATAAACCAAGCAAACAAAATACATGCCTAAGGATTCTTAATCTAGATCAGAATTCTGGGACTTGAAGTCGACATGTCTGAAAGCTGCCAAGGCTGAGAATCACTGATCTAGATAATCAGCCTTCCCCAGCTTAGTGTCCTGCGAAGGCCATCCTGGCTCAGGCCTGTTGACAAATGTGGAAGGCATCAGTCTGAGGAAGGCTGATCAAGATGGTTACATATACCTGTGCATGAATGGGACACTTAAATGCGGAGATAGTATATTAAGATATTTAACATATAAGAAGGGCTGTCTCCTTTTCCTTCCCACAAACCTATTTAGAAGTAGCAAACAAGTATTTTTAT